GCCGAGGGGCGCTGGGCAGCCCGGACAGAGCGTGCCTTCGGAGGGCGCCGGGCGCATCCACCTGGTGCTCCTTCAGGACGCCCCCCTGGCCTGGGCACCTGGAACGCCCCCTGGGCAGGACCTGCAGGCTTCTGGGCCCAGCCCTGCGCTGCATGGGAGGCCTTCCCACCCCACCTCCAGGGCTGCCTCTGGGCTGTGTCCCCACATGGTCACATCTGACTCCAGAAGCCCCCTCCATCCCCTCACCCTGCCTCTGGGATGTCCTGAGAGCACCCCACACTCTCAAGCCGCTGGGACCCCCTCGTCTGGAGTGAGGTCCTGGTCCCAGCCTGGATGGGGCAGGGCCAAAGGTTCCAGTTGGCCACTTCCGCTTTGGGGACCGTGAGGCTGAGACTCCCAGGAATGACCAAATTCTACCCCAGCCGCTCAGCCCAGTCCAGGCCTGTCGCAGGGGCTGGCACTCCTGGTGGCTGGAAGGAGCCGGACCCTCCCCAGCTCACAAGGAGGGGCCAGGCCCAGCAGCTCAGCTGTGGCACCTGCTCACCCTCACATGCCCAGGGGTGCTGGGCCAGCCACATGGCTGCAGGGGGCCAGGACTAGGCTTGCATCCAGGCTCTGAAGGTGTGGGTGGCCCCGGGGCCACTGAAGATGAATGGAGTCCCGGTCCCCACCCACTGCCTGTGCCCGGCCACCTTCCATTGTCTCACTCCAAGCATTGCCCAATTCTACATGTCAGACACTTGGGAGGGTCCTGGCAGCTGGGCTTCCAGGTTGTGGAGGGTCCCCCCGTCCCCGCCCCCGCCGTCTTGCCTCTTGGAGAAGTGATCCAGGCAGCCTACTGTGCCCCTCGGAGCTCTTCCAGCCGCTGCCCACTCACAGTTCCCACCCCAAAGCCACTTCCACCTCCTGGTGTTTGCTGCAGCGACACTGCCTTCCAGGGACCACAGTGGACATTCGTTTCCTACGGCGGCTGTAACCACCCCAAGTGCGGCCTGAACACAGCACGCGTTCATCCTCTTACAGGGCCGGAGGCACCGAGTCTGGTCAGTGGCGGGCAGGGCTATCCTTTCTGAGGCTCCTCCCTCCCTCGCCTCTCCCAGCACCTGGAGATGTCTGGGTTCCCTCCACAGCCTTTCCTCCGGCCATGCATCCGGCCCACCCGGCTCCCACCCTCTCGTCTCCTCTGGCTCTGACAATCCCTCCCTCTCCTAGGACCTGTGCTCACACCGAGCACCTGAGCAATCCAGGACCATCTCCCACCCCCAGACCCAGGGGAGGCAACATTCACAGGCGTGGGGATTAGAACGCGGGCATCTTTGGGGCCACAGGAGTGGCAGGGCTGCTTCGCCAGTCCCAAGCCCTGTCCAAAGGGCTTGTCCAGAACTGAGCGGCCATGAGGGATGATCAGGCCACCGTTCTGGCCCACACGCTGGCCGGAGGCTGGCTGGGGCCCAGCGCTCCAGGGAGCCTGGCGCCTCCCCTGCGGTCGCCAAGGATAGCCTGTGTTCCTGGCGAAGCCCATGCCAACAGGTGCACTCGGTCCTGGAAGTGGCCAGGCCTTCGTGGCCTCCTCTCCCTGCTGACGGGACTACGTGAGCTGCTGTCGGGTCAGAGATGAGCCTCATGGAAAGTTCCAGCTCCGCTCTAGAAACAGACTGGCGTGACACGCATGGAGCGCGGGGTATGCCAGGCCGCGTGGAGCCCGAGGAGGCAGCCAGGTTTCCAAAGCCGGGGGCGGAACACCCGCGGTGCTGGCGAAGCTTGGGCCAGGACTGGCGGGGAGAACAGAGGGCAGTTGGTGTCCGAGGAGGCTGCTGGTGGCGGAGCCTGAGGACTGGGATTCACATGGCAGCAGGGGGGTGGGGGGGGGCAAGGGCGCTGCTGGGAGACGCCTGGGCCGGGCGAAGGGAGGAAGGCATGGCTTGGGAATGGAGCTCTGCGGTAAGACCTGCGTCTGGGGCAGCAGAGAAGAGTCCAGAAGTGGCCTGGCCAGCGTGTTAAGCAGTTAGAGCGTCAGCCTGTGCACAGAGGCTCACGGTTTGACTCCTGGTCGCGCGCACATACTTGGGTTGCAGGTTTGATCCCAGCCCGTTGGGGTAAGTGTGGGAGGCAACCAATGGATGTGTGTCTCTCTCTCTTCCTCCCTCCCTCCCTCTCTCTCTCTCTCACCAGCCTCCTTCCACTCTCTTTAAAAAAATCAATGGGAAATGTCCTCGGGTGAGGATTAACGAAACAAACAAAAAGAATCCACAAGCGGCCTTAGGACACCCGCAGGGCTGCGTGGCCTAAGCCTGGCCGGGCCCTGTTCTGCCAGGAGATTGCGCAGAGCGCCAAGGGCCTGGGGCGGGCCGGGCCTTTCCCAGCGCCTCCTCCTCCGCCTCTTCAGACCTGGGCTCTGCAGGCCACCGACCCCCGTGCGGTCACGGTCACGGGGAGCCGGCCAGGGTTTAGGGCAGGGATTGGGGAGTTACGGCCCTGGGCCCAGGTGGGAGTGGGCGAGAGCAGGAAGGGTTCAGTAAAGCAACCAGATGCATCCCGCAGACAAACCCATGGGCAGCTGGGAGACAGCCAGCTGGGAGGCGGTCTGCTTCCCCAGCTGTCAGAGGGGACAGGCTTGTCCGCCCCGAGCACGCCATCAGACCCCGGCGCCCTCTGCCCACGCAGGGCTCTGCTGGAGGGCGGAGCGGGCAGCAGACATGTCTCTCAGGGGCCACCTCGGCCTGTCCCGCCTCCAGGGCAAAAGGAGGCAGCGTCTCTGGCTCCAGGACGGGTGGGGGGTGAGGGGGAGGCGGTTGCGTGCTTTCCCCGGGGGGGAGCCACCAGCTGCTCTGGCCTGGGCCTCCGGGCTCTGCGCCTGGGTGAGGAGGGAGAGCAGGGGCCGTGGGGAGACCCGCTGCCGGCTGCAGCTTCCTGTGGCTCCAGCTCCAGAGGCAAAGAGAAGTTGAACCTAAGGCTGAAACCCCGCCTCCCCTCCCTGCAGAGTTCCGCGTCTCTGCCTACCCGTGGGTGCCAAGTGCCAGGTGCCCGAGGACGCAGGACCTGCTCTGCTCCCTCCAAAGCAGGCGGTGGAAACACAACACCCGTGAGAGGGCGTCCCAGGCTCACCCGTAACACCCCTCCCCCCCGCCCCGCCCACCACCGTGAGATAAAAGCGCTTGGGCCCATCTCTCAGGCTCGGAACCCAAGGCTGAGGGAGGTGAAGGCAACTGCCCAAGGCCACACCGTGGTGCGGGGCAGAGGCTGGGACCTGCACCCAGGCTGGTGTGGCCCTGCCCTGCCAGTCCACTTGGCTGGGCCTCTTTCCCAGGGGAGTCCAGCTTTTCGGCTTTCTGGGAAGGACGCTGTCCCAAGGGTGGCTCCTGCTTCAGTGACCTCAGCGGTCCCTACGCCGTCATCTGCATCACTATTCCTTGGCGGCCACGCTTGCCAAGGCCTTCCCTTCCCTCAGCGATGGGCCTGCGGTCAGGAGGGCGAGCTTCCGGGGAGCCAGCACCCGCCGAGGTGTGGCCCTGGCTGGGGGACAGGGACACCAACTGCTGGTCAGGGAAGCCAACGGCACAGGAGGAGGGGAGGGCAGCGCAGGCGAGGCCCCGGCGGGCAGAGGCAGAGCACAGGGCACAGGAAGCCAGAGCCTCGCTCGGCTGTTCCCCGCCCAGCCTTCCCAGGTTCCTTCCGGAACAGCCATGAAGTGGAGTCCCTGCCCAGGGAGTGGGCACTCGATGCCAACTACACACTCCGCCGAGCTGACGGCACACAGGAGGCTGCCGCCGCCTCTGGCCCTGGAACCAGAAGAGGCAGCGCCTCAAAGTTGCTACCCAAGGTCCCACGCAAGACAATCCCAGAACCCAGCATCCTGCTCCAGCAGAGAATGCTGCCCCCAGCCACAGGCACCAGTAGGCCAGGCCCTTGCAGTCACCGGCAGGGAGGGGAGTGTGATGGATGAGCCCGCCTGGCTGCCAGGTCCCTCTGAACCCCTTGGTACAGGCTCCACCAGCACCTGCCAACCTGTAGGTTCCCTCCAGGCCCCTCGCAGCCACAAGTCTGCACAGACCAGAGCTGCGGGGAGGTCACACCAGGTCTGCAGGGAAGCGTGGGAACTCGGCCAGGTGGGGGAGGGCCTGGCATGCGAGGCCAGGAACACCTGGGTGCTGCCCTCCACACTGCCTCCCATGCCACCCTGCTGGGCGAGGGGTCAGAGGACCCACAGACCAAACTGACAACACATCAGGCCACCATGTCCGCCCTTGGCACTTTATTGGCCAGCTCTCCCCGCTCCCGAGCTGTCCCACCAGAGACCCCAAGCAGCTGCACTGGCCCTGCCGGTGGGACGGAGCCAGACTGGGCACCTGGGTCCCTCAGCTCCGGAGCTGGACTGGGGGTGCCCTTGCTCTTTGCTGCCCCAGGAAGCAGGGAGGACACCCCTGCCCTTCCTTTTGCCCCAAGTCTCCTAAAATGGAGAGCAGGGCACCCAGAGCCGTGGGAATGTGCCAGCACCAGCTCCGGAAGGCGCCCACCTCTCCCAGGAGCAGTCCAGGAGGAAGTATCATCCGGGCACTTCGGCAGGCTGGGGCGCTGGCCAGGCGTCCACGTGACAGCCACCATGCGGCCCAGACCTCCGGATATGCAGGAACCGGGGCCTAGGACACAACAACAAAGAGCCAGTCACTGCCTGGGCCCGGGGAGGAGCAGGGAGTGGGAACAGCACCCTGTGCCCAGTCGGAGCTGATGGGCCAGTGGAAGGACCCGTGGCTGTGGGGCTGGGGGAGGGGAGCCTCACCTCCCGCAGAAGTCCTTGCGCACAGCCACGAGCTCGAGGGACAGGCCCGGCCGGCTCTGAAGCCAGCTGCCGACCAGCTCTGGGTGTCTGGGGTCCACTTCTAAGAAGAGGCTTCTACATGGGGGAGAAAAGGGCCAGCTCAGCCGGGCAGGGCTGAGTGACCACCAGGGCAGGCGCAGGACACACTGACCAGGGGACCTGTCCGCTTCCTACCCGGAGTCCTTCAGGAGCCGAGGGGCCAGGGCCAGGAGGTGCACGATGACGGCCATGCCCTTCTCCCCGCCATCCAGGGCTGCGGGGTCTTCGTAGCTGAGGGGAGCAGGGGGTGAGAACGGGGCAGGCGCGCGGGCAAGTGTGCAAGAGCTGAGCAGAGCCTCCGCAAGGGGCCCGGGTCCTTGCACGCTGGGCCGAGAGGACGGCTGAGGGCCCAGAGGAGGCCCCAGATGCCGACAGCTCCAGCTCCCCCGATGGCCCACCGGCAGCGCACACCAGGCAGTGCCCCGGGCATGAGCCTGTCTCCCCACAACAGGCTGCTCCTATTCTGGGTCTGGGGAGGCCTGGGGCTGGCCCTGCCCACCCTGGGAGCCTGGGAAGGGGAGCCAGCACCCTGACCCACGGCCACTGCCCGTGTGGGTCTCAGCCCATTGGAGAGCAGGATGGCTCAATGCAAAGCCGGAAGTAGTTTTGGTCTCAGCTTTCCTGCTAAGTCCCCCATGACCTGGGGCAAGGCGCCTTCCCCCTCTGGGCCTCAGTCTTCTGTAAAATGAGCTCCTTCGATGCATTCTGTTCCGTCTGACATTCTAGTGTCACCGCTGAGCCCTCCATGGCCTGCAAAGCTCGGCCACCCCCTTTCGGAGGCCGGAAACTGAGCTCAGAGAGGCCAGCAGTCATCCAGTGTCCTCAGGAAGGCAGAAGCCAAACCCAAGTGGGTCTGTGGGCTCTGGAGTGAGCTCTCTTCCACCGACAGCATCCCTCAGCCTCTCCTCCATCCCTCCCCCACCCCCACAGTGGTCCTCCAGGGCACACCCCTTCCACTCGCCCTCAGGCCGGCCCATCCCACCCCACACCACCCCACCCCGCACCTGCGGATCTCAGGGGCCAGCTGCTCCATGTCCTGGTGGAAGACGTAGGGAGGGTTGCTGACAAGCAGGTCCATGGGGCCCCAGGGCAGAAGGTGTGCCCAGCTGCCCTCTGTGGTCACAGGGATCACAGCAGAGAATGGGAGGTAAGAGTGGAGCTCTGCCCACCACCATGCCCCTGGGTCACCCCTCTCCCGGGATCCTATCTCTGGACCCGATAAGCCAGACTTGCAGGTCAGTGCCCAGGCCCCCAGCCTGCGGTGCCTGGGCCAGGGACCAGAGGGGCACTTAAGTATTTTGGTCTTAAAGGATTTCTCTTGAGCTTCTGCTTATCTCTTGACAACAAAGCAGGCGCTAGATAACGCATTAGTTACAGAGATTTGGAAGATAAGAAAAACCCTAGGGCTGGTCCCCTCCAGGGTCAGGTCAGCTGAGGAGGCAACAGGGACTGACCTGTCCTCAGCAAGGATTGGTCTGATACCCCTTGTGTGCATGCATGTGCGCACGTGTGCATGTATGTGCATGTGCATTGTGTACGTGTGTGTGTGTGTGTGTGTGTGTGTGTGAATAAGTGTTGGGAAGCCTCCCCCAGCTCTGCAGACTGCCTCAGCCACCCAGCAGCCCTGTCCGCAGGACCCCACCCCAGGGAAGCTGGGTGAGGAAGGTACCTAAGGTCACATCAAGGGGGGCGATCCGAATCCTGTCCTGCAGCTGAAGCCTGGAGAGATGGGAAGGGCTGAGCACAGGGCAGACTCCTACCCTTGGCTACGAGGCCTGGGAGGATAAGCCCTTCCCGGGCTGTGAGACCCCTGGGCCCACGACCCACTGTATCCCCCTGGGAGCCCGCCAGGCTGCCCCAGTGCCTCCCCCTTCTCGGGAGTGGACGTCGGTGGGTTTGCTACCTGAGCAGGGGCTGAGATCAGGCCCGAGCCCGATGCCCCGCACCCTGACCTTCTGGTCCCTGAGCCCGCCTACCTCTGGGCGTTCTCTTGGGTCAGGGAGATGGCGGCTCCTGCCTTATCCACAGCGATGACTCGGCTCTGCCCCAAGAACAAGGGAAGGGCACATGGGAGGCAGGTGCCGGGAGAGGCCAGGCCTGGGACCACAGCCTCACCAGCCCCGTCCAGAGAAGGAGGGATACCCACACCTCTCCCCTCCCTGCGCCAGGGCCTGGCCAGACAGAAGGTATGGGAGGTGGAGGCTGTGACCAGGTGGGCTGGGCTGCCCTAAGCCTGGTAGCTGCCCCTCCAGTGCTCCTAGCAGAGACGGGAGCAGGGCCAGTGAGTACCAGCCAGTCTCCTGGGAGGGGAGGGGTGCTGAAGTCGCTCACCTGGGGCAGCTGGCTCAGCAGGCTGAGGGAGATGGCTCCCGACCCACAGCCCACCTCCAGGATGAGGGGGCCGCCTTGGGCTCCCACCGCACGGGGCTTCTGGGCCACCTCCTCCAGCACCCACTCAACCAGCTCCTGCAAGGCAGCGCGGTCTGGATCAGAGGAAGGGTCAGCCTGGCCCCCTGGGTCTTGGCACAGAGACCAAGCCTCCTGCTGGGAACCCACCCCCAGGAGCAGCGATCACCTGCCCCAGGGAGCGAGTCCGAGGCAGCGGAGCTTGGCTGGCGGCCCGCCTTTCCTGTTCCAAGCCCCGCTGCACCGAACAGCTATGCTAACGAGGGCGATGATCTGGCTCCAGGCAGAGGCACTGCCCTCAGGTGCCCCCAGCCTATGCCAAGCCCTGCGGAGACTCGGGTGCCGGCAGCAAACGGGGCCCACGGTGCTGGGCCTGGCACTGAGCAGCTGGGGCTGTGGCCGGGGCCTGCGGTCTCGGTGGCGAGGCCGTGCGCCGAGCAGCTGGTGGGAGGCCGAGGCTGTCAGGTGGGCGGCTCTCTTGGTTTCCTGGCCGCAGACAGACCTGCTCTGGCTGGAGAATGACCCCTGAGCCGACCACACTGACCACCACTTCACAGACACCCCAACCTCA